TTGTGACTTGCATGAAGACAATATGAGACCCCGTGGAATGTGTACAATTCGTGTCAAGTTGTACAGGGAGAGTGTTAGATGAAGCACGGACGAATGCGATGAGAAAACTCACATTCCAAGAGTACTTGAAGGGCAGGAGAATCCTGACCGTAGTTGGTGACTACGACACAAGAACATCCCACGACCTTACGTGGTTTCCCCTCTCGGTCAATCTTAGCCAACCCGGCCCATTGACCGAGGACCTTCGCATCGGAAACTTTGATGAGTTGGATGCTGTGTTCCGCGCAGAGCGCCTCGATGAGTTTGAGGTATTCGGCTAGAGTGTGAAGAACATAGTAGGGTCCGAGGGGTAGGGACAATAAACGAAATAGTCAAAGTCGATTTGGAGTATGATGAGAGGAAGAAACATGTAAAAGTATAGCGACAAAAATGAAGAGACCCATGTCAGCTAGATCGAACGGTAGTATAGACATGACGACGACTCACCCTCAGTCACAGTCTCAACCAATACACATAAATGTGCTTCCCTTTTGTCCAAAGCTTTGGCGCATTCTCTAAGTCCTCTGGCAAGACCATCATGGACCAAAGCTAGCTTGATAACTTCTTGCAAAGCATCTTCTACGGACATGGGACCAGACTTTTCAGCTGAAACTTCGGCGACTTCGACGGCTTCGACCTCGGCCGCGGGGGGGTTGGAAGTTTCAGAACCAGCGTCAGACATTTTGAATAGCCTTCTTCCGCTGTGAGATTATGATAGAGAGGAAGGAGTTTGGGTAGGTTGAAAGTGGTTCGTTAGGTTGAGGATTTGGAAGTTGAAAGTGAAGTTTCGAACGGTGTCGGTGTTTGTCGGGAATTTTGATCGGGAAAGATGTGGCATGATATATGGTAGTGGCATGTGGCAGTTTTCGTTATTGCTCACCGTGATTTGAGTTCTGTGATCTGGGATGAAGGAACTACGAGTATGTACTTGTGGGTGCGTGAGGGAGATACTGTACTTGCAGGAGCTGGAACACACGATCCTATGCAGAAATAAAATGAGCATGCTATGATTCTATCACTTTCATTTCCTGACAAAAGATTATACCATCCTTCTCCAGATCCGCACTCCCCCTCTGCGCTCAGGTTCATCCTGGAGTAAATCGAACCCGTTCCACATCTGCCACACTTCTTCATACCCCATTCGTACCAATGTCTCTCGCACTGTTCGATCATCCTGCTGTGACGAGTCACGCCTTTCAAGTAACTCGCCGAAGAGGATGATGTGCGACAGTGCGGTTGTGTCGAAGTGAGGGATAGAACCTCGAGGAGACGTATGAGGAGTGGATATCGGTGAATGTGGGAAGACGTTTTCAAGGTATGTGATGGGACCCCAATAAAACACTTGCTGCTGTGTGATATGGGAATGATCCTCACTGTAGACGTCAGCCATTGACACTTCCCTTTCAGTCGCATCAATGTCAAGAGTCACGTGCAGCAACACTAACATGGGGATATGGATGATATTGTACTCGAATGTGCACTTACCGTAGAGGTGGCTCGCAAGTCAGAAACCAAGCTGGAACATTACGATGTAAATGACTCATCCATGGTGTAGAATGACAAGGCATCAATCCTACCACCCCGGTCACCTGTCCCACCTTGCCCGTGCGAAGGACATTCATCACTTCCACTTGAGCCCTTCCATGAAAAAGGTTCAGATATGCAAATGGCAGGATAGGCAAGAGTAATATGACGTAAAAGGGTATTTTTGGAAACCGACAATATTGTCTGATACTTTGGCGAAAATGGTAGCATCCTCCAAAGTTGGGTATGTAACCTTTGACGAGAGGAGCAATGGCAAAGAGAAGAAGGGGCGGGAGGAAAGGGTGCAGAAATCTCCATTCAGAGTGCGGAGAAAGAGATAGAATGGTGATTGAGAAGGTGATACTTCGTGCTAGTATCCGTAGTCCTGGCGGACGATCGAGTTTTATCAGGAAAGAAGGTAGGTGGGAAGAAGGGAACAAACAGGAGATGAAGCCGGGAATGACCCATGGGAGAGTGGGAAATAGCATAATGGGTATTGATTGTGTAAGATGATAGAAAGGGGTGGTCGAGCCGTAGAATGAAGAAATGTCGAGGAAGATGTTTCGGTGAAAGAAAGTTAAAATGGGAAAGACTAATCGTCCTGTGAAGTGGTAGTCAATTGCTGTTGACGCTGCCAAAACCATGAGCCTGAGACATCAGCATTTTGCACTAAAAACGGTTGAAATCAGGACTCACACCGTTATAGCGCTGGTCACCATCGTGCCCAAAGAGGAAAGTACACCATGATACTTGTACTGACGAGCGAGGAGCTCTACCCCCATATAAGCCCAGAAAGGAAGCGTAGTCGGCCGGATACATATCGCCGTGGTTGCAAGTGCAACACTCAAAATCAGCGAGTCTTTGGGTCTGTACACGTCAGTCACATGGGGCAGACACAGAAATCGCTCACGGTGTATGTCCTCTCAAATTCCATCTCATTCGGTCCATCACGATGTAGTTCAACTCTTCAACATGCTTATTCGCCTGTTTCTCCTGCGGTTTCTCGATGTTACTTGGAACGATATTTCCAGCTGTTCCGTCCAGTGACGATATGGGAACTTTCTCGTTCTGTCGATTCTCCGAGCCTACTTGATCGACAGGCACATGAGATGGTACTTCCGGAGGAGGTAAGGGAAAGTATGTCAGAGCCATCGTGGTGAGCATTGTCTCTGGTGAAGTCGATAGTGCCCTCGGGAGCAAATGGGCGTTGAAGAGGGATGTAAGGGAAAGAAAGAGCTGAGATGGTAAGCCAGAACAACGTAACGAGTGAGAAGCTTACTGCACCTGCAGCAGATCCTTCACCTATGAGCTTGGACGAAAGACGGTAGGTATACCAATCAGTCATAGCAGCTACGAACACACCGATGATTCGAGGTGCTACCACCTGGTCCGTCAGCCCACACATTAACGTTGCTCTTCCATGCCAGTCTTGTCTCCTTGTTTGATCGACAATTCACACGGCCGAAAGTGAGAAGAGCAAGCGTTCATATGAGTTGAGTAGGTAAAAGTTGGGCGGGGAGCAAAAAGGACGTACCAAGAGGAATGTATCGTCAAGCTTACAAAACCTCAATAATTGATATACCCCCACGAAGAGACTCGGCCAGAACCAGCTTCTCATCCTACCTCCTTCCACTACATCTCCCCACCAGCTACCTTGTGAACTACTTGGTAGATCACGCCATTCCCAAGTGAGATGACCGTACCCGAATACGTGATGATGAGCAGGTTCGAGAGCTTGATAAAATTCGTCGGGTTGGAAGTAAGTTTGAGGGATTAAGAGCCATAATGATCTGAAAAGGAGTGACAAGAGGAGAGCTTTATGAATCATTCTTGTTCCCTGATTGTCGTCCTCCCAACTTCATCGCCAAATGTTCGAGATTGAGATAACGGTGAGAAGGAGAAAGATCATATTGTGGACTTATCGGTGTCTCGGCCATGGTGGTAAGGTATGGTTGTCCATGCATCGATTGGTTGAAATACCTTTCCGTCGGAAGCTTGCGCTTTCTCACGGTTGCCCACATTCCATTCGAATGTCCCCTCTCCCCAAGTTGGTTCACATACAACTTGAGTGATCTAACAATTCAAAACCATCATGGTAAGTGCTCAGACCTCGATAGGAATAAGACAGCTGAACTAAAGTCTCTTTCATACCTCCAACAAGAGTCCTCTCCTTGTGAGTGTTATTAATCAACACGGCTCGCTTAGCACTGGCTAATTTGATAGCTCATCCCGATGCCATCTGGGCACTTTCATGGACTTCAGCAGATCGATTAATCTCAGGTTGTGCCGACGGGCATATAAGGGTATACGATCCCTCCGACTTGACTGTACCTCTACAGGATATCCATGCTAATCCTCTCGCCATCTCTTCTCTGGCCACTTCGAGCGATGGGAGATACGCCCTGTCGGGAAGTTTAGATGGGACAGTCGCTTTGTTAGATCTTGAATCAGGGGAAGAGGTAGGGAAGTCTGATACTGGTCGAGAGAAGATTGGAGATACTAGTGATTCTATTACTTCATCTCATTCCCTTTCAAAACTGACTGACAGCACTACCAGCTTTCGCATGTGCTGTACATCCTTCTCTTTCATGCTGGGCTTGGTCAGGTCGATCTTCCAAACTTGGTTTCCGAACAATACCTAAAGATTCCATCTCTAAAATAATCACGGAAGATATCAATGGTCAAGGGGAATCATCCTTTAATCCATTATCTGGTGAAGCAAGGGTTATAGATACTGGGAAAGGTAAATTCGGTATGGACGTAAAATTCGTAAATCCTTCTCATTCGCTTCATACGAACGAGCTGAAAGGAGAGTCACCAGATGGACAAAGTTTAGCTTTGGCCACTGAATCAGGACAGATTATGATCGTCGATGTGGAAACTGGAGAGGTATTGGCAACTTATACTTCCCATGCGATGGCAGTGAGGACTATTTCATGGTCAGAAGATTCTCAAGTGAGTTTGTTCATTTCTCCCCCTCTGACCCTTATAGAATATATGTATTCCTTTTTCCCTCGGAGTGATGAACCAAATCAAGACTATCGACTGATCTCGTAGTGGCTCTTTTCTGGATCCGACGATCATCGAATTGTTATACATGATGTCCGAGCAGGATCCAAATCAGGCCAAACTAGAGGAGAAGGTGCGGTCGCTATATTACAAGGACATCAAAGTTGGGTTTTACGTGTTTCCGCTGGTCCAGATGGCAAGTTGCTCGGATCTGGGTGAGTTTTTCCCCCTATATTCTACAATCTCGACCATCTCCATCTCTTTATCATGCATGGTCATGGATGCCGCATGATCCATCGTCTCTAAACCATTGAGAAGTTCACAAATTGTTTTGCTGATCATATAGAGGAGCAGATAATATGGTCAAATTGTGGGACATCGGACAACGAAGCTGCGTTTCAACCATACAGACTTCGTCTGAGGTGTGGGGATTAGACTGGCAACCCGCTTCGGTCGGTGGTTCAGGTGTAGGGAAGCAATTCGCCATTGCGGGAGAAGATAAAATGGTGACGATATATCGTGCTGCCGGATCTTCATAGTCCTCAGTGCATATATCCTCCCAAAGAAGGGTGATCTGGGCAGGAATTGAAGATGGAAGCAAAAAGTAGTGATTCACAAGTACATAACGTCTCACGCAAACAAAAAGCATGTCACATCCATATTTTTCATGTCACACAAATTTACTCACCCCGCATGCTCTACAATTTCTGTGATTATTTTACCAGATACAATCTTGCTACGCATTTGTTCTGGTATTGGTTTCTCTTCGAAATCACCCTCTTCCCCCGTAGGAACGCTGATATTGATCGAACTGGTTTTACTCGTGATAATCTCCACTTTTTCCATGCACTCTTTACTCAGGTATATGGACCCCGAGTCGGTGGTATCGATTTGGATGGTAGGGATCGTACCTGTAATTTGAACTTCGAACGAGGGTGACGAGGTGATGGATAGTGTGGAGACGGCAGTGTCAAGTACGACGGCAGTTTTCTTGCATCCGACTGGTGATTAGTGGTGTTCCCTCCGGGTGACAATCCATCTGTTATGTGCTTAGTACTGTCTGCACCATAACACGAAATACCTTATTTTCTCTCGACTGGAAACCACGACAGCTTGTAGAACAGGGTAGTGACTCACCCATTGATACAGCGTTAATCTTCCCGGAGATCTTGATGACCGAATTCTTGCAACTGAAGATGTGTACAGTGTGGTTCAATTCAGTATCTTCAATGACGATGTTTTTATTGTCTTCTTGGTTCTCCTGTGACTTGTCAGTCTCTCGATCACTCTAATGGTCACGGCGAGAAAACAGCGTGACAGTGAATGCGACTTTGACAATTAACTCACAACCAGCCACTTGTTCCCACCCTCTAATTCCAGTCTCGCGGGTTTCTTAGTCGTCGTCGGAGCACTTGAACCAGGTTTCGGCTTGAGGGCAGGTGGAGAACGCTTGACGCTCGTATCTGGCACTGTCCCCGATGCCCGCAAGTCGGGATTCTTGTGAGTCATTTGAGACGGGTCCACTTTCTTCAGACCAGAAGTGACGGCACCACCACGATTGAGAGCTGCGAGTAAGGCAGCTTGACCTCCTGCTGCCGGTGCAGATGACGTAGTCCCGATAGGGGGTGGTGGGGGCGGAGGTGGTGGTGCTGAACCTGCAGAAGGTGCATTGGTCGTAGAAATCGACGAAGGTGCAGGGGGTCCCTGGTGGCATTAGCTGATACGCTGATGCATAAGGGACGAGGCTTACCTTAGGGTTCCAAGCTACTCCGGTGGTATGCCATTGTTTGACATATTTCTGCAACTGATCGAGTAAATCTGAGAATGATTTGGACCAAGCAACAGCATCCGGGTTGCTACATGTCAACGAGACCTCACTCTCAAACTTCGATACTTCCGAAGAAGCAAAACTAAACGACTTACGTTTCTTTGAATTGTTTTATCACTCTATCCCCCCAGAACTGAGCGGCACTTTTCATCTCAGTCACGAATGGTGCTGGAGCCGGTTCCTTTCTCCTCAGCAATCACTCACTTACCACAACATGGGAGGAGAGGACTTACCACTTGTACCCAGCCCCAAGCACTCACACCTTCACTCACGGTACTCAAACATGTACCCCATTCCCTGCCTTTTTTGCTCCGATTTAGAGTCTCTTTAGTCTCCATGACAGCTTGGATAGCATCTGCCTGTGGTTTGAGCAGAGGAAGGAGTGTATTTGCAGAAGGTTTGCTATGTTTTGATGCCATCTCTAAGAACGCCAACTGGGCAGAACACAAGGGTTCGAGTAATGCCACCTATAGTATCAGTGTTGCTCAAATTCAGTCAAGCAAGAAATGGAACGCACATGTTGCTCAACGATTCCACCGAGTTTCTTAGATTGAGCAATGCAAGCGGCCAGTGCGTCGTCCATAATCTGGGTTTGGTAAGCCTGCACGGCGGGACTCATGGTCTCTGTCGGGGTAGTTTGAGCTGGAGCTGAAGCTGAAGCTTCGGGTGGGGGTGGAGGTGGTGGTGCTGGAGCGGGTGGAGCGGACGTCTGTGGCGAGACAACATGATTGGAGACGAGATCATGATCTGCCGCGGTGGGTGATCGAAGTGATGACGTTGGAGCTGGGGATGATTGTGACATGGCGACATCTTCGAGTCGAGAAGTGACAGCTGAGGTATCAGCTGCAGCTAACTGTATATGCTTTGAGACAAGGTCGATTATGATCCGAGCGATGAAGTGACAATGTAACCTACCTTCGAGTCTTTTCCTGTGAACACTTGTCAGTCACAGATGACACAAAGGGCATTGAGTAGACTCACAAGATGGTGCCGAAAGAATGTAGCCCTTGACCTTGGCCAGCAGCCAGAGCGGAATTGGGCATGATGGAGGTGTATGCGTGCTATAAAAGGAGTATGCCGAGCTAGAGCTGAGGAATGTAGAGACAGAAGTGAGGGTTACGAGGATTGATGCACCGAGCTCGGATCGCGTGGCAGTCACGATACGACGAGGTAGAAGGGGGGTGAGGCGATGACAGAGTGACAGAACAGTCAAGCGAAACGAGCAAGCTGGCATGCAGCACGCTATGTGAGGAGGATAGACCAACAAACGAGAGATACCCTTGACTGCTTGTAAGTGATGATAGAAGAGGAAGAACAGAGAGGCGACCACGATCGAGAGACTGAGACTTCCTTCCGCCATCTTCCCTCCACATCATCCCTTCACCCTTGACCTATCATACCCATCAAGTTGCGACTGATCATGGACAGCATACGTGTCGCTCGAGTTGAAAATGTTCTCCTTGAACGTCCCATACCCCCAACGACACCTGATGGAACACCTACCCGTCAACGACTCGACGGAACCCTTCATCTCACACCTCATCACCTCATCTTCTCCCCTACGCCTGATGACCCATCTTCATCCAGGTCTCCTTCTCAACCAGAAGAGATATGGGTCCCATATCCTTCCATAACATTACTCACCCGATTACCTCAAGGTATACAAGGTTTATATCCACTTCAAATCCGTACGAGGACATTTGACAGCTATGTCTTTTTATTCCCTAAAGCTATGGAAGGTGGTGCTGAGGATGTTTGGCAGAGTGTGAAGGACTGTGCTGTTGCATGTGAGTCTAATTCTTACCTCCGCATACGAATGCTGATAATCTAGCTTCAGTGGAACAACTATACGCCTTCTTCTATTCCCTACCACCACCTGACCCTTCTGGTTCTCATTCATTTACGAAAGAATCAACATTCTCACCAGATGCTCCTTCACCTTTGACGACCTCCCCACCGAAAGCTCTTTTACCCTCTTTGATGCCTGCTAATCCATCTGCCGAACCGTCGACAGGATGGGGAACGTTCAACCCCCGAGCAGAGTTCGCTCGTCAAGGTGTAGGATCTCGTACCAAAGCTTGGAGGTTTACAGATATCAACAAAGATTATTCCTTTTGTCCTACATATCCTAGCAAGCTGGTCGTCCCTAGTCGCATAAGCGATTCAACTCTTGTATACGCGGGCAAATATCGTAGCAAGGCAAGAATACCCGCTCTGACCTATCTTCACTGGGCCAATCAGGTGCGGTTGCACTGTCCTCCCCAATCACTCATATATTTCCAAACGTAACTCAGACTAACTGGCAGGCTTCGATTACACGATCATCTCAACCTATGGTCGGTCTGAAAAACTCTCGATCAGCACAAGATGAACGTTTAGTTGAATGTATCTTTTCATCACACCTCTCAGCTGAGAACGCCTACTTCCAAACCGCCCCAGATCCCCTTTCTTCCGTTCAAACCTCCCCTTCCTCCGCCATCGCATCCTTACCCCCAATTTACGGATCCACCTCGACCAATCTCATCATCGATGCTCGGCCAACCACGAACGCTATGGCAAACGTGGCCATGGGGGCAGGAACAGAAAATATGGACAATTATCGAACTGGCAAGAAAGCGTATCTAGGGATCGACAACATTCACGTCATGCGTAACTCCCTTCGAACCATTGCTGAAGCTATCGTGGAGTCAGAGATGACCAGTACTCCCATAGATCGAGGTTTACTAAGGAAGAGCAATTGGTTACGACACATATCGACTCTATTGGACGGTGCTTTAGTCATCGTTCGTAATATCCACTTGAACGCATCTCATGTCCTCATACATTGTTCAGACGGATGGGATCGGACATCTCAACTTTCAGCCGTGGCGCAAATCTGTCTCGATCCGTATTATCGTACCCTACACGGGTTCAAGGTGCTTATAGAGAAAGATTGGTTAGCGTTTGGCCATAAATTTCTTGATCGGTCAGGACATCTTTCTTCAGAGAAGTTGTTCACCGTGACAGATGTTCTTGATGACGAATCGGATGAGGAAGCTCCAAATGGTGCACAACGTGCTGCGCAAGCTTTTTTCGCAAGCGTGCAAAAGCAATTTGCTAGTAAATCTCATTTGAAAGAAATTTCACCAGTCTTTGCTCAATTCCTTGAATGTGTTTATCAAATCATGCGTCAATATCCCAAACGATTCGAGTTTAACGAGAATCTTTTACTTGACATACATTATCATCTCTACGCTTGTCAATTCGGTACTTTCTTATTCAACAATGAACGTGATCGTAGAGTACCCATATCTGGAAAACCTTATGTAAATCGTACAGTTTCCGCATGGGATTGGTTCGATCGACCTAAACAACAAGAAGGATATCTCAATTCGGAATATGATCCCAAGCTGGACGAATCTACATCTCGGGAGAATAGCGCGGATCAAGGTGTGCTCATGCCTGATCCCAAGGATGTCAAATTCTGGTTCAGACTTTTTCGAAGGGGGGATGAAGAGATGAATGGGTCAAAGTTGGCATTACAACAAGCTCCAGGAGCTGATATGTTAGGACCGGTGGGTGCAGGTCAACCAGATCCTATCTCAATCGAAGGTGTCATTTCTGGATTATCCATCTCCACATCGGACAATATCATCTCCACACGATCATCTACCAACCCCTCTCCGGCTCCACCGGAATCAAGGTCAGTTCCGAATCTCATGGAAGAAGAGAGGAAGAAAGATACTTTCAGACCTTATTCCACTTCGTCAGCTTTTTCCCTTCAACCGCATGGGAGACAATCTCAGACACAAAACACTTCGACTGGGGGGTGGAATTGGGGACAATTGTCACAAATCTCATCTGGAGCGTTGAATGTGATACAAGGAGCAGCGAGGGAGATCAAGAATATCTCACAGGACGCTTTGAGTCAGATCCGAGCAGAGGGAAATGCGGATGGAGAGACTTGGGAGAGAGTAGACGCAGCGAGTCAATACCCGGCTCCTGGTTTACCAGCGCCGAGATTACCTACCAGTTTAGCTCAAGGAGGGTTGAGGATACCGTCAGAGACGAATCCTTGGTCTACTGAAACGACTATGAAAAGAGAGCCGAGTCCGGTCAATCCGTGGGGAAACAAATTGGGTCAATCTATCAGTACTTCAGAACTGTCAGGGAAGGAAGTGGGAGCGGGGATTGGGGATGAGGGCAAGATGGGAAAAGATGAAGATAAGGTCATCGTGGAAGCAGCTATGGGAGGCGAGAGGAAAGCTTGGGATCCACTTGGAGCGTTGTAGATTTTAGACATATCAACATTTCACGTCTGACGTTCATATCAGTCTTTATGACATGTCATGAGTCATATGGAGGGTGCAACAGCACGCAAAGAGCGCTTGAAATAGTGAGAAGGCAGTGTGATGGATGATACGTGTGCATGGGATATAATCATGTGAAAGGATTTTCGATTTCTGTTCATTAGCCCCTACCATGCTACCTCGCTGCACAAATGGGGAGGGGGGAGGTTGACCGTACATCAAGGTGTGCCCAACGACGAAAGACTGAAGCACCTCATGACCCTTGTTTTTGATGAAATCAGAACACATAGGGAGTGAAGAGGATCACAAGGAAGGTGTAGCGATATGGAGTGAGAGGAAGATACAAGGGGCAGGGAAGAGGAACAAACCTGCAGATCCATCGGTAGGTAATATAAGTGTTATATTAGGTCCTCGAAGAACTACCAAACCTAATGATCGAGAAGGCATACCGTCTATTGTCAGTTTAATGTCCTATAACATGTCTAACTTCTCTATGATCTGCGAAATAGTATGATTTGGAAGACAAGAAAGAAAAACTCACTTTCGAATTCTTCAACTACATCGTCCATTACAAGGTTCATAAGTTGATCGAAACCTTTCAAAGTGCCTGTCACTGAATATCAGATATATCGTCGCTTCACCTTCACAATAACCTCCATATTCAAAGAAAAGAAGAGTTCACGTTCTCCTCGAGAAGGATGATTCCCACCAGTATGACCGCATCATTACGATAATCTTGACTTTCGGTGTAGCGAAGGGTAGAGGTTTAAGGTGGTATGAGAGGTTCAAGGTCAGTACATTCAAGGGCAGGGCTAAAGGGAGCAAGGTGTGAAGTGCTCAGTCATGATAATACTTTGAAAGGTGAAGATGAAGGTATGAGAGATAAGAGTGATACAGAAAAACTTACCCTCCCTCGCACCCATGAATTTGACCCGGATGGACTTGTCAACATAATTCGCCAGATTCAAAATTGATTCTCTCTTCTTTTTCTCTCCTCTATCTGGACCTGCTGGAGCGGCACCACGACCTCTTTGGGGAGCTCCTCTTGGCTGTCATGTCAGTGGATGGTTATGTGAGAATACGTGAAAGACTCGCCTTGGCTGACATGGTGAAGATGGTGAACTTCCGAGTAGGGGTGTCTGTCTTGTGAGCTTGTGAGCTGGCCAAGGGATGGGATTAATGCAGTAAAATATCTTCAAAATATTCAATATCTGGCCTTACTGTGAACGGTGGAACATTCTTGGACATCACTCTGGTACTCTGGGGGCGGTCTCTGTGGTATCTGTGGTACTAGTGGTATCTACTGAGGGCGATTAGTCTCAGAGGGTCACAAGATGACTGATAAACCCCAAGGAGACCTATCATTCAAAGGTGAGTATTCAAATCGTGATTTACGCAGAGGTCTCACTCATAGTACTCAACCTTCTGAGTAAAGAGAGAGCCATCTATGGACTCCGCAATGGTGACCATGAGCGATACAGGTCAGTGAATAGTTTCTTGGTGAAAAGATAGAGATCCGTGCTGATAGATTAGACGACACTGTGCAAACAAAATCCATCGTCTACGTCAAGTAACTCATACCACATGTGGGAAAGGTAAAGTATACAAAAAACCTTCTCCATTAACCAAAGATAGCATTCAAGATGTTCGGTCAGTCTTCCATCTTTCAGACTTGTTTAAAGCTTACTTGCAGTCACCTACATTTTATGTTGTTTTCCGTGGAACGAGCATTGACTCATTCTCACCAACTTCGAACTTTAGCTCGGGATCCCAAAGTACCGAAAGAAACCAAACGTGATCAGATTTCTTGGCTTCGACGAGCTCTCAAACTTTCTACTTTCTTCTACGACCTATCCATTTCTCTCGTTTCTGATGGTCGACTCAACAATCAGACCTTGGCCGAAATATCAATCTACCATCTTTCCGTCCGTGCGGAACTTTTCTTCGAGAAGAATCAATTCCCCGAGGTACTCACGGATCTGGCAGTTCGTCGCAATCTCCTCACTGTTTTGAGAGATGCAGCGAAGGATTCATACGATCAAGCCCTTGCTTCTGAGAGTATGGACGCTTACGATCCCATGATTCGATTTGCTGCTTACAAGCTGGGTCGGACGGAGTCGCATGACATCGAGGGCGTCGTGAGTGAGGTTGATGCGGAAATGATGGAGGAAACATTACCTGGGTTTGGTAAACTCGTTGAGAGTTTACGAGCAGAGCTGGGAGCGAATGATGTGGAAGAGAAGAGGAAAGTCTTGGAGGATATTGAATTTGCAGGTGATAAAGTGGAATTCAGAAGTGCGGAGATGGTAGGCGTCATGCTCAAAGTTCAAGACGCTTTGAAAAGGTTGAAGGGGAAAACGGAGAGTGGGAAAGGTAGAAGTATGAAGGGTTGGGATAAAGTGTTGGCGGTATTGGGTGAAGCGGAGGAAGTTGCTAAACGTTTGGTCGATGATCATGAGGTGAGTCGACTCGTGCAAATGACAAGGATGTCATGGGTTCGAGGCTAAGTTATCAGGCCGCAGCTTCGACATCTTTGCGTTCTGCAGAAACATCCAAATCTCTTTCTTTTGCTCATCAATATATCGTCTTTCTCCTCCTTTCCCATCGTATTCGTCGAGATCTCCTCCTGGCCGAATCACTCCGAGGCTCCACCCCTCTTCCGACCGACATCTCATCTTTCAAGGTTCCCGGCGGAAGGGCCAAATTGGCCGAAGCTGTCAAAGGCCTCGGGGCCATGGTGAAGCTCTACGACACCGTGTTGCAGAGTATGACGCAGCTACGCTCTCTGGCCATTGTCGAGGAACGTGATGAGGTACGAGCGGGTACTCAAGGACTCGAGGATCACTTTCATGCTACCAGGTGCTTCCTCCTGGCCCGACTCCACTGTCTCCACCCTCAACCTTCGTACGCCTCTGCTGTACAGCTTCTCTCGCGCGCAGGCTTGTTGCTTCGGCAGGCGAGGGATGAGTTGTTCAGCGCCGATGTATCTCTAAAAGAGGAGATTATTCCTTTATCAAGAGACGATTTGGCGGACCTCGAGAGGCAAGTGCAAGAACTTGATATGGCAGCGAAGAGAGGATTGTTTGGGGTCAGTGTCGAGAAGCCCTTATTCTTCGACACAGCGTTTAACTATGTCGATCTGCCAATGGATGATCTGATGATGCTTGCTGGTAGGAAGGCTTCTTCACCTGCATCCGGAGTGGAGAGAATGACAGAGGCAATTGGAAATGTAGCGGATAAGTTGACCGAGGTGAGAAAGGTGGTATCTGAAAAAGGACAAGATGTCATGGGAAGTCAAAGCGAGGAAAGTAAATCCAAGTCGTGGCTCGGAGGTTGGTTCAATAGGGGATAGAGGATATGTAGTGGACAGTATCTCTTAGCATATTCATGCACCCATACCATCCTATCATGGTCGCAAGGCCGTCATGAACATGCACAAAGTGAACGGCTATGTAATGACAAAACCACGTGGCGAACGGCGAGGAAAACTGACAAAGTCTCCTAGCCAACGGTTTTCCCACTCAGTTCTCTTTCCTTTCAAACTCACTCCATCTCCGACTCGTTTCCTCCGACATGTCCATTTAGCAATCGACGACCTAGAGAGCCGTCGGTGCTCGACATGCAACCTTCTCCCAGTCGTGTACGTACTGCTCGACAGGTCCAGAGGGGTTCGGGCTCGCCATCGACAGAGGGGCGTCATCCTCCACAAGTGCAGGATCGGGAAGTGATTCAAAAGTGTGTACATTCATTGTTTCTCATCGCCTCTGATCGTTCTTCTATTTCCCTTCTTGACCAGTTACACTGTAGTTACGTTTATTTCATCTCATACTGGCCGCTTTGAGATCATGTTTACTTGATCAATATTTCTCCATCCGATCCCTCAAATTCTCTTCGTTTCTCAGAGCGATGTCTCTTCGTCCTGTTCCTTCAGCATCCTTCCTCCAGTCATGCGAATCGTCGAAATGTCTCTGACTCACAGAAATGCTCTCGCTTTCAGTGAACAGATGAAAGAGCTTCTCAAGCTTTATCCACCCTGGACTCGAGATGTGGAAGAAGCGAGGACAAGGTGAGTTTCTTATTCCATATCTGATAGTGTTTTTTGGGCTGAGAAGGAGATCACGAGAGAGTTATATCATGCTACTTTTTCCTGAGCCTCAAGCTAGTCACGCTCAGTCGCTCGACGGATTATGGATGAAGACCTCTTACTCTCTCATCTCCGCCTATAGGGATCGTATCGCCAAAGCTGAACATCGCCTTCAAAACGGTCAGACCAATGGTAGTCGTAACACCTCTGACATCATCAAGATACGCTCTCGCTTTCATTTCGCCTTGGAAGCAGATATCGTGTTTTACAGAAATATCATTGCTAGGTTGGTGATGTATTACCGACTACTGGATGTAGCGAAGGTAGCTCTTGCCGGAGTCGGCATGGGATTCACGAATCCTTCCCCTAGGTCTCAGAGGAACGAAATAAAAGTCGGTGTTGAAGAGAAGAAAGACAGGTTGGGGTTAGTGTATAAGGCTTTGGTCTGTTTGGGAGATCTCGAAAGGTACAGAGAGTCATACAAGGATGTCACTGTGGAGAGTGAAGAAGAAACGGAGAAGTTTGCCAAGGCTATCGCATATTATGAAGCTGCCAGAAGTCTTGTACCTGATGATGGTGAGCTATTGTCTGCCTCCGTCTATCCCTCTGCTTGAGCTCCTCCTCTCTCCTATCGTATCCCGTCTTCCGCTTGCTTCCAGGACATTTCCAAAATTCTTGTTGAACCTGGACCCAGGTGTGCAATTGGCATATGCTCACCCTCAGGTTCCGCTTTCAATCAAATTGCAGTCATCAACATATACCTCAAAGACGACTTTGCCATGGGTTACTACCACTGGCGGGCCATGGCGGTCAAATCTCCGTTCAAAGACACCGACAAAATCCTTGACAAGTTCTTCACTCGAATCTTCGAACAATGGTGGAAGTTGCAACAAGATGAAGGCAACGAAAAGGTCCAGGATGTTCTTGAAGACAATACGGTGGACAGATTCAAAGGGAGTTTCCTTGTCATCATGGCTATCCTCTATCGCAAAATTGGGTAAGTCACTTGTTCAACTGTCCACATAAATATCACTCTGCTGACACGGCAGTCTCTCTCAACTCGCTGAAATCACTCGTACAGCATTGCAGGATCTCGAAACTCTCCTCCGCCAACGCAGTTTGCCCTCCGAAACCATCGCAAAGCTCACCGTGATGTGCATCGCCTCCCACTGGCATGCTCGTTCCACTGCTTCGCTCAACCCTACAGAGGCGAACGGGGAGAAAGAATCGGATTCGAAGCGGAAACGACGCCGTCAAGTCGAGCTTCGCGCACTGTCTATGACTTTGAACATCTTCGAGGTCATTTTCAAGGTCGCCATGCTGGAGGCGCAAGCTGCAGTGGATGCGTTAGTTGAAGAAGCCCAGTCTCGTGACCTGGCAGGTCCCTCTTCTCCTGACGAGCTACACCGACACATAAGCGCCGTACTCCGACGCATCCTTCCCTCACTCAGGATCATCAGTAAATGGATGAAAATACATCTCGAGTATGTCGGTCGTGTGGCGTCTACCGCAGACGATGATTTCCTCGACACTCAGCGGGCTTTCTGGAGAGCGTATGTGCTCATGTTGACTTCGATGGGAAAGATTTTCCCAATTGATCGATTGCCATCTTTGTCGACCGTGTTGGAAGAAGACATTGACATGCTGGGGTTCCTACCACTTTCCTTGGGTTCACATCCATCGACGCCCCTACCTCAACCGGGAGCGGAGGAATTAGAACACGTTCATCCAAATGAAGAGCAACTGATGCGACTTTCGGATGTTCAGGTGGATGCGAGATTGTTGTCGCAAACTTCGGTAAGTTTTGACTCATGGTGTGAATCCCGAGCTGATTTCCAGGCTGGGAAAACAATGGATTACCTACAAACCAAGACTGCGGCTGCTCTCAAGGCTGATCCGGTCATCCCGAAGACACCGCCTCCAGCTCAGCCGCCTGTCTCTATGGTCGTATCACAATCCGAGGTCGCTCTCCCTGTGCCCGTACCCATGCCTCATGTCATTCCTGAAGATTACACCAACAACTCTCTCCATCTGATACACGATCACGAAGAAATTGCTTCTGTCAGTACCGAGACCGAAGACGACCCTATCAATCTTGCCATGCGTGTCGCTCTAGGTGATTCGAACGAGATACCACATGCGGACGAGCATATTCAACCCTTTGTCGAACAACAGGTCCCTATACCCGTACATACGCCCATCAAGAGCGGTACGACAGCTCTTGACTTATTGCAAAGTCTCGTCCTCGACTCTGTCCCTCGCGCATCTCAACATACAACTGGAGGTTCTCATCCCGTCTCTCGTCAGTCCCCAGGACAAGGATCACCCTTGCTCTTCGGTGGTGATCAACACAACTCGAGTATTTGGAGCATGACCAGAGAGGAGAGTGAAAAGGGTAAGAAGAGAGTGGGACAAGCATTGTGGAATACAGGATCGACATCTGCCCCACATCTCTCTTCACAAACTTTTGCGACAACTCATACCGCTTTGCCATACGTTCGGAACGGACAACCCCTCTCCGTACCTCTCCCAGGATCGGGCTTGAATCCAACTGCTGCTTCGGGTCCGATGCCAATATCGGTCATGGGTTTGACTTCGGGTAATGGTACTGGTATTTTACCCCCTCCGCGGTCGGTATGGTCACAAGAGACTCTGTCGTCCGCTTCTGCTTGGCCTCAGTATGGGGGAACGGGATATTATGCGCATTTACCGGTATCGTGGGGACAGACTCGAGACCGTTGATTTGACACGATAAGAGGGAGAGAGTTCAGAGGAAGTGTTTCCAAACAACGAGCTCTGCGCCGTGGTAGAGTTTCCGAAGCATATCGCTCGACGTCTCCCGTTTTCTCTCCACATTGTTTCGATATACCCATTCAAGCCAATCGTCCTACCTCTCGAGTCGAGATGCCACGTCAGATAGGGCGAGGTGAATGTAGTCAGATCAACTGGACAGGGAAGAAATGCGATTTATAGCAAAACTTCCATATGTGAATGCATCGATTCATGACTCTTTCTCAGGATCATCATAGATTTTCAACCAACCTCTCCATTTCTCATCCCAAGCCACTGGTGTTTCTTTCCTCACTATCTCATACCCTTCTTCATTACCCATCCACCTTAACTCTTTCTTCTTTCTCTCTTCTCTCAATTCTGATTCCGAGACGATTTTGCTATTCGCTTCGTCTTTGGTAGGTTCCACTTCGCCCCGAGTGAGTTGAAGACGATGTTTTAAACCAGGATAATAATCATCTCTAGCTTTTTGCATTCGTTTAGGTAATTCGTCAAATGATTTCTTGTAGAACTTTTCGACGTTTTGATCGAAATCAAGGTCACTTTTTTGGTGTTCTCCTTGATTTGTATGACCATTTTCACCTTCTGTTGAGTATCCATTCTTACTTTCACCTTCTGTCATAGTGAAAGATGTCGAAGATGAGAATGCGGGAGAAGGACCCTGGAATTCCCTCGTATGAGAAAAAATCAATTTCATAGCTGCTTCTCCACCCGTTCGAACATGATGACGTTCGGTGAAAAAGTCGTATACCATCCAAGGGATTTGAAGAAAACCTTTGCGGTTCATAAATGGGACCAAAAGTAATGGAGGTTGAGGTGGTAATGTTTCGAGTTGTTTCTGTAAATGATTAGAGATGATATTGTCTGTTTGAGTATTTGATCTAAATAGTGATGAGGAGTTAGGTCGAAGGAAAGATAATCCTCCACTTGAAGATTTCGAATCAGGTCTTGCATCAGATCCAATATGTTTAGGAACGGATGGAATATCGGGATTGGGGATGTTGAAGATCTCGTCATTTGTATAATTTTCATTGGAATCGGTATCAAGTATCTCAGGAGGGATAGAAGGTTGATCGAAAATCCCATCCGAATTTAATTTCTTTTCAACTTCTTTTTCCCATATCCAAGGAGATAAATCCCCATTCCAACCTCTTCTCAAACCTTCCATATATTCTTTCAACGAAGGACGTCCAACGAGCACTATCCCCCCTTCGAGATCTTTACGTCGTACCGCTTCCGGATCAAGGACAGAAGGTACGGAGATTAGAGGAGGGGGAGGATCTAGATGAAGGTTTTGACGACGAATACGATTTATATCAGCATGAGCTTGTCGAGTTATGGAACCGTATAATGGTGAAGGTATTTGTTCGTAGTCTATTGCTGCTGCGACTAAATATGGCTGGGATTAGTTTGTGATCTCTATTTGTGTTTTTCTTTCAACAAAAGGTCCGCCCCCATGAGACGCACCAATTCAAATTTGAATGGAATGGTCCGAGAGTGAAATACTACTTGTGAGATATCTAAATAGAGTATGCAGGACAATGGTTATGAGTAGACAGAAATGATATGAATTCAAGGAGTGAAGGCAAAAGCAAATTTTTACTCTCCAGCACTACATTCCGACTGTGGACAATGGAAGTGGACCAAACTTGACATATAGTGATTTGGACATGAGGAGGGTACAGAAATTAAGTTAACTCACTTTGACATACTTTCTGAAATATCTCAACGCCCTATCCTCATCTTCATCCTCTGGCCATTTAGCACCAAAAACTTTCACTTTCCTCGGTATGTCCAAACTTCCTTCACATTTCTCCTTTCCGAATTTCTCCACCCTTTGTAAATATTCTTTTTTCAACTCTCGACATTGTTTTCGGTCATCGTAGTAGAGATAAGAGATGGTTCCTAGTACAGTGAAGAAGATGGACCAATTACGTGATGGTGGACGAGGTTTCCAAGTTAATAAACCTCGAGGTAAACCGGTATGTTCTAGTGCTGCTCGGAAACCGGTGAGAGGGGGTAGGGGTTCTGTTGTGGTTGGTTTTGATGATACTTGGGGTTGCGTAGACGTCGTAGAGCTAGTAGAGCCCGTTGGGGTTGCTGGAGGTACCGGACTTTGAGTATTTGACATGATGCAGAGTTGCAGAAGAGAATGACAAGAAATTTCTGTTCGGAAATTTCAATTCAAAAAGTCGGACTTGAACTGGAATTTCAGAATTCCGATGATTCATAATAATCTCTCTCTTGTCTTTCTTCTCTCTACTACTACTCTGCATCGTAGCAATTCGGGAGGTAGCGGGGCAGTAAGAGCCATGAAAGGATCAAGCAGTCGACTTTGTCAAACATATCGAAGATTACACTCGACCACAAACATCAACAACCTTCCCCGAATAGCACCCTTACCTCATATCTCCGTATTAGAAATATCCGGTCCCGACGCTACGAAATTCCTCAAAGGTTTGAGCTGTAAAGATGTAGATTCTCTTCAAGGAGGTTATAGTGGATTTCTCAATGCTTCTGTGAGTTTTCTCTTCTTTTGTCAATATGTTACAAAATCATGTCATAACTCCTCTTCCTTCATTACCTCATTCAATCACAGTCAGCTAGAATAGAAGTGAATAGAGATAAATGTCTAATCTAAAAGGGTAGAGTACTACATACGACATTCATAATCCCTTTATCTTCATCCACCATTCCTACTTATCTTATAACTCACCAATCCCCTTCTACTCATCCTCACCCGCTCACGACCTTACTTCCACCTTTCAAACTTCGTTCCAGAGTCCGATTTCGTGATGTATCATCTGAATGGGATGTTTTTTCCGCTTGGGGATCAAAAGAGGATATGGAAGGACATAAACCTCTGGAGAGATGGAAGTTTGGAAGTGGAGGTGCAGCTGAAAGAGGTTGGATATGGGAAGGAGGAGTAAAAGATTTAGGTTTGAAAGAAGGAGAAGTTGGTTGTTGGGATTTAAGAGCTGGCTGGGGAAGTATGGGTAAAAGGGTTTTAATACCAAAGGGAGATAAACGTGGGTATCTTTTTTCTCAATCCACTAAGCTTTCTTTAAGATATTAAACAGAGCTAAAACATCAGCATCTCTTATCTCTTCACACGATTCTGTCCTTACTGAAATATATCATCTCAATCGTACTTTACTCGGTGTACCTGAAGGTCCAACGGAAATATTACCTACCCAAGCATTACCTTTAGAAAGTTGTATGGACATTCATGGAGGTATAGATTTCCGTAAAGGTTGTTATTTAGGTCAAGAATTGACAGTACGAACATATCATACTGGTGCTACAAGAAAACGTATATTACCTATTCGACTTTTCCCTCTTTCTTCGAATAAACCTTTATCAGAAATTGTTCTCTCACCTCCCACTGTATCATCTCTCTCCACCGCCCCAACCTTGCCAGAATCTCCTCCTTTACCTGAGTTAAGTACGCCAACTTCAACGTTCTCTACCACGGGAGACTTATCACATACTTCCATCACGGACGAAGAGTCACAGATAGATATCACCTATCATCCACCTCCCGACGCAACTTTGAAAAAAGCTAGATCAGCAGGAAAGATCCTTTCTCTCCTTCCTCATCATCCGAATGTGGGATTGGGGTTGGTAAGGATTGAGATGGCCGAGAGAACATGGTGGAATGCTCCTTCGGTTGGAAGTGTAACAGACTGGGCGAAGGGAAACAGAGGTAGGTTGATAGCCAATGTCCATGGGGAAGAAATGGGGGTTTATGTTGGTATGGGAGAAGCTTATAATTCTGCTTCGCAATTTGAAAAGACGCAAGGGAATCGATGAAAAAGTACTGGTTTACTGGTAAGTATGGAGGTGTAATTTTGTGTCAACCCCACTCATATTTGAAGAGCTATAGATTGTATCTTCAGGGTAATGTACTAGATGATATACATAAAGTCAACGGTGCATTTTAACATGGAAAATTATAGATCGTCAAAGAAAGTAGCGTCGTCTTGTCGAACACGACCCATATCTCCTGACCCACCTTTACCACCTTTCTTCACTTCTTTTTTCTTCTTTGGCTGTTCTTCTTCCTCACTCTCTTCCTCCCCTTCCTTTTCCTCACCCTCGTCCTCGTCCCTTTCTTCGTTATCTTCATCTTCATCCTCATCATCATCCTCTTCTGTATCAGATTGTCCAGTCATATCCACATCCCCGTTGACTTCTGTTCTGCTGGTCCTTCCCTCCTCTTCCACATTTTCTTCCTCCATTTCCTCATCGCTCTCCTCAAACATATCTTCAACATCCGTTAGCTTGATACATAGATCATGGCTGACACTGGCCAGCCACTTGGCGTTCCGATCAAGTTTGAGACGTTCTATAGGGTAATCTTCATGAGTGGCTATCACCCCGACTATTTGTCAACTCTGACCTCACCCATTACCGTATTTTGTGACAAGGCCTTAGCAGGTGCAGATATGCAGGACTTACGAAACTTGTTCGGTAACAGTTGTAAAACCCGTATCATACCATCTTCAGAACCGGTAGCAATGACATCGGGAGTGAGAGCCACCAGAGCGTCTATAGAAGCTGGATGTCCCGGTACTCTGTCGACGCCTATAGACATTAATACATTCCTCCTCAACCATTCTCACTAGAGAGTGGATGCATGACATGTATCACGTGGAATATCTGATGGGAAACTCACAATCTCCCCAACCGGACTTCCGATTCCATATACTCACCACACCCAGTCCCGTACCAACGGCCAACTTGGTACCACCCTTGATAGGGACCAAAGAGAGAAGTTCGTCTTCTTGATCTTCTGAAATGGCCAAAGGGACAGTTTTATTGACTCGTATGTCAATGACGGAAAGACGTCCATCTCCTCTGTTCTGTCAACACAGTATTATGTCTCATTTTTCTCGCACAATCTCCACTTCCATTCACGGAACATATGAGGTTCTGGCATCGCATAGGACTCGGGTGGATTTGATTAATCACTTCTGTCCAAGAACGAGGAACATCTCACGGAGAATTAGCTTAGTCAGGCGTGAAATGACCGTGAGAGGTCGGAAGGGTTGTAAGTATTATTTTCGTGATAGAGGATAGACTCACGAAGTGGAAACTAATTGTCGTTTATCATCGAAATAACAAAAATCAGATATATAATCTTGATGATGATTATACGATCGTATACAATCTTCTTTTCTCGGATCCCAGAACCTTATAAGTCCTTCATCGTCTCCTGAAGCTAGTAGATTTTCGTTGACACAGAATAATCTGTTGATGGGTGTTCTGTTCGTCAGTAGTTTCCCTTGTGACCCTGACCTTGAGAACGCTATACGGGCTACCACTTCCCAATGACCAAAAGGTATGTATTTTATATATGCTCACAGATAACAAGTCAAGTCTCCAGCATGGGAATGAGATGAGATGTTAAGGGGAAAGCGAACTAACTCATGAGCTCCAGCCCTTTCTTGCTTGACCTTCCCTGATTCCGCATCCAATCGACTGTCCCGTCAGCTTTACACCAAGTTTGAAGAAGACAACTGACAACAGTGCTCCACTCTTTCCTCCTACCCAGACAGACTCCCCCATTTGATTCACTACTACAGCCCTGGCTGTTCTTCTGGTGGGTCTTGCGGTCCATGATGTCGAGGAAGACTCGCCTAGGGTGTCGTCGTACCTGAATGCTTTCACCTCACCAGTAAGGAGAGAGGTGTATAGGATGGGAGAGGTGGGGTGAAAAGCGACGTCGAAGGGCTGGTAGTGTAAGCAAGGCCGAGTCACAAGACGATTAGCTTACTTGGTTTTTAAGCTTGATATCGGGCATGTTGAACTACGAGTATAGTCTATAGGAAACTTGTCCATGTAATTGACGAAGACTCGATGGATGGATTTTGCGAACTTTTTCTGAAGGGTGCGGAGATGAATTGATGTCCGTGTGACATGGACGGAGAGTGTTGTGATGGCGAGGATGGCGCATATGTTAGCCTTGGAATAGCTGCTATCTGCTGAATGATCTAATTACACTGATGCAGATATACATATGAAGATATTCAATCTCTATAATCTCTTCTTACCATGTCCCGCGACATCTTTCTCAAACCTCGCTTTCTTCCTCCTCCCCCCCTCGCTTTCTTTGACACCGCCCTTCTTGGCTCTGTCTAAAACCCCGCCCCTCTTCCCTATACCACTACTTACGCTCTCCCATAAACCTTTGGATCCTCGTTCACCTAACACACCCTCCAATTCCGCTTCCAATCCGTTCTGTCTTCTGCCTCTACTCCTGGCCGGACCACCAACCCCGTATCCCAACGCCAAAGCCTCTTCATCTTCCCTCCGTCGTTTAGCTTCACGTTTACTGGTGACCAACCTTGTCATATTCTCCTCCTCGAACTGATTCATTCTAGCCAGTTCTGCAGCTCGTTTAGCTGAGGTCGAGTTGGAATGCGATTGCGCTTGGACCGGACGAGTAGCCAAACCAGAGGTGGATTGGAGTAGAGGTGCGCCGTTCATTGTTGCTGCAAACTCTGATAGAAGAGCGGGAGCCCGTCGTTCGGTACGACGGGATTTGGTGGACTCTGTGTATGGCACCGCTGCGACCCTAGGTGGACGATAGACTGCAGAAGGCCCGTCGTCGTCTGCATCCCTGGTTGAATCCTTGGCAACGCTTGACAACATGGCGGAAGTATATGGACGAAAGGACAGAGGGTCTGAACTGATCAGCTTGTCATTGAATATGTCACATGAAGTGACTGACCATCCTCAACTTCCTCCACTATTGCCTGACCGCGAACCTCTTCCGCTTCGGCGAGAGCGGACAGTTTCTTGATTTGATACTCTAACTTTCCTTCTAACCCTTTGATCTTATCCATGACCTCGCGGTTCACGCTCAGTTCTCGTATGATCTCTCTCATCGCATCTTCGGGCTTGTCAATCACTAGAGGTGATCGCGAAGAGGACGCGAATGAAGTTTCTGCGTACAAGCCTGACGACGGTTCAATCCCTTGTATCCGTAAAGCCAAGAGGATCACCAGGTGATGCAGCGATGAGAGTAGCAGGTGAGGACGTAGGAGTAACAGAGATAATCCCGAAGACATATCAAGTGATGAATCGTTCGTCTTGACCCTATCCATCAGATGACCTTCACTATCAAAAAATGGCTTCTCGTGCTCACTTTTCCATCAAGGGCCGGAGAGCACTACTAGTGGCCTGCGCAGAAACTTGCACGTCGCTCAATAATGTTGAGACCTGTTCAGAAGAAAGTGGATTCTCTGCTTCTGCCATATTGTCTACATGTCAGCTATGTCTTCAAAAAACGAGCTAACGTTATAACCCTCAGTCACGAGTTTTCTAGGCTCGCTCCTCCCTACTAGAGAGGATTGGTGCGTTTAATCAGGCAAGCTCTTGGAGCTCAGTGCCCAGTGCGTATCATCTTTGGGTTACTGTTCGTTGTATGGGGAATTCACAGGATGAGAGAGACTCACATCGTATACTACGGCCGTAGAAATAGTTCACAGTGAAAGACTCAGGAGGAGGACAGACGAGAGACGACCAAAATCTTTTGAAGCTTTGTGCGGTTGTATATTTGTCAATAGGCCTGCATATTCTAGAAACCTTCGCGGGCCTAACTTTATTGCCCTTTTGGTTCTGACTTTTGCCGGTGGAAGACGTCAGTTTGGCTTTGCATTCCATCATCCCGGGCGTAGCACGGTATATAACGGGCTCTTTCTCAGACGTTCCTGGAAAAAAAAAGGAGAAAACCCCGTGGGATTCTGCAGAGTGGCACTTGTTTTGAGCTATTGCCATGAAGGACCTTCAGTTCCAACTCTTGATAGCATGCACTGCTCTAATCGTGTACGGCAGAAGTGTCGTGCTCCACCTGGCACTTTTCTTACTTTACAACACTTCTTGAAGAGTAATACAGGCCCAACTGCTGGTCAAGTTCTCAAGACTTGTTGCTTCTGCCGCAAGAAATCCCCAATACTCCCGGCCACACCTCAACACCGTACACCTGCCCAGCTATGTCAACTTTGCGGCTCAACCCTTGATACCCCTGCCTTCCGTGACAATCGTGGGCGGCTCAGACGTACCTGCTTGTCTTGTCAAGATGGTGATACTCCACCCAACAATCAGTCAAAAAACTGCCATCCTCGACCACACGGTACTCCATCTGATACATCTGGCCTCACCCCTCAATCTTCCCGAGCTGCTGCCCGTCCACGGACCCGCCCACCCACACCCCCCTCTCCCACACCTCTGCGTCCCAATCCGCTACCTCTACAACGGCCACCACGTTCCCGCAGACCTCCCCAACGCTTTGTGACCCCTCCTCCTCCAGTACCTCCCCAGCCTGTCCCTCCTCCCCAAGTGCGTGTGAGACCCAATGCCAATCGTTATAAATGCACCCAATGTCGTCACTGGCAGGACAGCAGCTGTTATGACATGGACCCAAATGGACATAGACACCGGACGTGCCGTACATGTTTACAGCGTAATCGAGAACGATATCAAGCAAGGCAGCAGATCCATTCACCCGAGCCATCCTACGCAACAGACCCCTCCCCCTTCCTTCCCATCAGTGCCTCCTTGGACGAGAATCACCTACATAATACTTGTTTATCAGATACGGCAATTTCTCACATTGAGGACTTCTACTCTGCTCTAGAAGAAGAGCGGCTTGAAACTTGTAGTGCCTGCAATGAGCGGTGGTTTGGTATGGATGTCAAGGAAGGAAAGTGCAGTACATGCCGGAAAGGTCGTGAATCAATATGGAGTGCAGATAATAATATGGATCCTGGTATGTTGCTCCTTTCTCTTCTTTGTGCTCTACTGATTGATAGGCCCATGTCTTGCAGAATTGTGCAGACGGGAAGGTGTCCCTCCCCCCGAACCCCCCACCCAGATTGAAGAGATGCTGCTGTCACGCTACCATGTCCTACTCCAAACTTGCAAGGTGAATGGGGGTCAGACAAAGTATAGTGGACACACCTGTCTCTTTACATATGACAATGTCCGCTTTCTTGACAAGCTTCCTCTCATCCCAGCCGACCTTGACATCCTCATCATCCGTCCATCCAGTACCTCTTCCACTGCTGTTGACAATTTTGCAACACGTCCCGAGTTTCAAGTCAAACGTGAAAGGGTTTTACAGAATCTCCAAGCGCTACAACGTTTTCATCCTGATTACATCTCTGTTGAGATAGATCATCAGACATTGGCAAGTCTTCCTGAAAATGGATCGGTCTTCCATCAACTTCGATCTACAGTATTAGAGGACTCCAACACGTCAAATGACAGTGATCAAGGTCCCATCCTAGATGAGGACAACGTGGAAGCTGGACTAGTCACTGAAGGAGTGATTCCAAATGTTGGTAGAGGGGTGGATGTCATCTCCGAGACACGCAATGTGCTGCAAAATATTGTCCAGCAAGATATCGTCCTTTCGGCTCCAATCATCAGATCAACTCTTGTAAATGAGCATGACGAGTCAATCTCTTTCCTGAGAAAGGCTTTTCCATTCCTCTACCCTTCAGGCCAAGGTGATCTTCGAGGTGATCGACAGCATCGGGTCAGTGAAGCAGATTATTTCAATCACCTCATACGTTATAAGGATGGTAGATTTGCGGCTCATCCACGCTTCCGGTGAGCTCTTCTGCTCATCCATACTTGTGCTCATGTGAACAGATATTATGCTTTCAATTGCCTCATGCGGTGGAGAACCAAAAAGCTTGCCGGATTCTATGTCAGTCGGAATGAGGAGGATCGAGGTCTGGTTGCTGGGGATTTTGCTGAGCTATTGGAAGGAGACGCCAGAGACCTGGCTACTCGAGTACGCCGAGCTGCCAGCTCGCTAATTGGAACACCGCCATATTGGGGTCAACAAAGCAAGAATCTCCAGTCCATGATCCGCCAACTTGGAACACCCCATGCCTTCATCACACATTCGGCTGCAGATGTTCAATGGCCAGATCTTCATCGGCACATGCCTCAAGCAAATCCCCTACCCACCAATGAGAGAGAGCGGCAAAAGATAAACTCGCGTAACATCATTGACAATCCTGCGATTGCTGCTTGGTGGTTTCAAAGACGATGGACACTCTTCCTCAAACATGTGATAACCCCTCTTTTCAAGGTCAAGGATCACTGGTTTCGATATGAATGGCAACATCGCGGCTCAAGCCATGTTCATGGGCTCATCTGGCTGGATCAAGCACCCTCGCCTGATGATCTCAATCTTCACAATCCAGACTCCATCTCTGCCTTCCTTGATTTCTGGGCACCACGAATTACCGCTATCAACCCTCATCCGGAGGAGCCTCCCGCATCAGTCCATCCCTCCTCTGTTCCCTTCCAAGATCTGTCCTTCACAAATCAAGACCTTGCTCAAATTCTCAATCGTGTTCAACAACATTCCAAGTGCTCCTCCTACTGCCTACGTCGGAAAAAAGGTTCACCCCCAGATGCACCCCTACAGTGCCGGTTCTCCTTTCCCAAAGAGGTTTGCAACCAGATGACAGTGTCGCTCAATGAAAGCGGCAATAAATCTCTTTCTATCCTTCGCAACTCTCCTCTCTTGAATCAGTACAATCCAGTCCTATTGCTTGGCTGGCGTGCCAATATCGACATCAGCCCTTGCACTGATCCCCATGCGGTGGCAACATATATTGCCAAGTACGCTTCGAAAGCAGAAAAGCCTTCAATAATGTTCAGTGAAGTGATGATCAGTATTGCCCAGCGACTTGAGGAGGAGATCACAGCAAGAGTTGTCTATCAGAAAATGCTCAGTCGAATCATTACCGAAAGGGATTGGAGTGCCCAAGAGGTCTGCCACATCCTTCTTCAATGTAAAATGATGTCAGCTTCCCGGGAATTTGTGTCGTTATGCTTGTTAGCAAATCGGAAACGTCGCATGAGGCAGGACTTGGAGAATGGGGTAGATGAAGGTGAACCAGTTGAGGAGAGTGATTTGAGGGATGCTTATGAGAAGCGTGCAGATGAGTACAAGGAGATTTCTCTGTATGAGTGGGCACAGAGCTATCGGCGGGTTCGTGGAAGGATTGTTCATAGACAGCATGCTGCTGTTGTGAGCCTATGGCCACTCTACCATCCAGGAGCCTTGGAGTCCCATGAAAATGAGGACTGGTGTCGAGCCAGACTACTCCTCCATCATCCTCATCGGAATCCCAATGAACTCAAGGAAGAGGACGAGACTTGGGAAATGGCATATGCACGTTGTCAAGAGGCCCATCCAAATGGTCATCAAGATACACTTCCTACACGTCCACGACGGCAGCAAGTTCAACATGCCGGTGACTCTTCAGAGTGGTCAGAAGATGAGGAGCAGGAGGAGGTACGAGAGCAGGATGATTGGCAGGAATATGCTGGACTAGGACCGGAGATGGACTGGGATGGATTGCAGGGTCCGCAGTTGGGCACACGACTCATTGATGTTGAAGAGGACTGGCACCAGACACTGATAGAATGGGGTGATGAAGGTTTGAAGGAGCGTACAGCCTTCCTTGGGATTGCAAAACAGATGGTAAGTTGTGAGAAAGATACACTTAGGCTGATGAGAGCAGGGTGCAGAGGCTGTCATACGTGAAGCTGTTGACTTCACACTTTTGAATGGAAATCAACAAAAAGTCTTTGACAAAGTCATGGCCCATGCTCGGCAGCAAGTCCTTGACATAGCTATCCCTCCCTTCCGTCTCAATGTCGACGGCACTGCTGGAACCGGTAAATCATTCCTCATTGAAGCTCTATCACAAGCCCTTGACTCACTGTATGCGGACAATGGAAGGACAACACCTGTTCGTCGACTTGCACCGACTGGCGTTGCAGCATTCAACATTGCAGGCGAGACGTATCAATCAGCACTTGGACTTGGAATCAATCTTGAAACGGCACAGACAAGTGTGCAAGGGAAATTAGGTCATCTACAAGAAAGCTGGCGGGCAGTACAATACCTCATCATTGACGAGAAAAGTATGATTGGTCGACGTGCCCTTGGATTGATAGACAACACCTTTCGGCAGATCTTCCCATCTAGAGAGCATCTCCCGTTTGGAGGATTGTGTGTCCTGCTCTTTGGTGATTTCGGTCAACTCCCTCCTGTTGCCGACACTCCACTCTACCACCCTACCATCTTTCCCTCTACCAATCACCAGAAACAGATGTCCAACACTGGCCGATATGCCTATCTGTCCTTCAATGAAAGTATTGAGCTCAATATGGTCATGCGGCAAGCAGGAACAGACCCAACATCATTAGCCTTCAAAAGCACCCTTGCGCGTCTTCGAGAGGGTCAACCTATTCAGGAGGACTACACACTCCTTCGACGACGATTCTGGGACGCACTCCCTGTGGATGAACGCAATAGCTTTGCAAATGAAGCGGTCTTTCTCTGTGCACAATCTGCTATGGTAGCTGAACTCAACATCAACTCGCTTGTTCAAGCCTCAAAGCCGGTGTTACGATCAGTTGCTCGCTCCACTGGACCCGACTCAACACGAGCATCCGAAAACACAGCAGGTTCACCCCAGATCCTCTACCTCATGCTCGGAGCTCGAGTAATGCTCACTCGTAATCTGTGGACTGCCATGGGGTTGACAAATGGTACCACTGGCCAAATCCATTCGATTGCCCTGGCCGCAGGTGACACACCACAACAATGTACCCCTGCAGTGGTGATGGTTGCCTTCCCATCTTACAAGGGACCTTCAACATGGCATACCAATGATGGTATCCCAGTATTACCAATAATACCCCAGACAACCACATGGGAGGGTACAGGTGGTGCTCGATGTACACGTCGACAGATACCCCTCAAGCTTGCCTATGCCATCACCATCCACAAATGTCAAGGCCTCACACTTCCTAGAGCCGTTATCAACATTGGCGAATCAGATTTCAGTCGAGGTCTGACATTTGTTGCCGTGTCACGAGTGAAAACACTTGACAGTCTTGCATTTCGACCAGGATTTAGTTGGGAGAGACTCCAGAAAGTTGGGAGGCAAGTCAGAAGGGGTAGACAGAAAGATGGTTGGGATCTATCCAAGGAGGATGAAGAGAGGCGGCAAGGATTACCTTTTCTCCCAGTCTTGGAAGTCACAAACGGAGCTGCATCATCTACGGAACTACATGAGTCGTGAGTCTCTTCTTTCTCTCATGAGCCGCACACTATTCTGAAAAGCTCCTGTGATCTGACAGGAGGATCCCCACCTATCCACTTCACTAAATTGTGCTCCCTCATGTAACCAACAGCTAAGCGTCCCATGGAGATCAGTGGGTCCCCTCCAGACAACCTCAGCCCACCCATCTGTCGGAGCATGTCCCACTACCACCCCAAGCTCTGGCCACCAAAATTCACCTCCATGCAGTTGTTTGCTGACACGAGACAGATCTCCACTGAACCTTCCTTCTCTGACAGCTCCAGCAAAGAATAGTCCAATGTTGAATGGAGAGGTGTCTCGATCCTGATGAGGTGTGTTGGAGAAACCGCCACGAGTAGTGGAGAACATGTTGGCACCTGGAGTGTTCTTCCATAGCCCTGAGTCAATAGCTTGTACGTCAAAACGAGGAATATGATTATCTTCCGCATGGCGTTGAGTTGCATTGAACGCTGCTTGAAACAAGATCTTGAAGCGTCTGTCAAAGTAGTCGGCAACCTTTGGCATTTCCAGATCAATCTCCTCAAGCTGATCCCCCTTCCCCTGTTTTGGCTTGTAGCGGGTGATACCTTCCCCCGGGACAAAAGAGTTACGCCACCCATACTCTGCCATCACTCCATGAGGTATTGCTTTTGACTCCTTGGCATGGGATGCCCCATTGGTCTTGATGATGTTGTTGTTGGTACGTGATATGAGGTCGACAACACGCATGATATTGAGAGCCTCATTCTTTGAAGACTGGCTGAGATGTTTAAGATTTCTGTAATAGACCACACCAAAGACTTCTCCCTCCTCCCCTTTGGTCTTGTCGACAAGGATGTTGAAGCCAGCTCGAAGTTGGATGAGGGGTGATAAATGATTGTCACGGAGGGCTTTTGTAATTTCGGGTAAAGATATAAAGCCTTTACAATTGGGATTGTGGAGATTGGTAGTAATAATATTGTTGATGACATGAAGACGTGATGGGTCGGGTTGACAAAGATGAAGAATGATATCCTCACCAACATGATCAAGACCTAAGAGTTGTGGAAGGTAGGCAGATGGAGTTTGGAGATGGGCCTCATGACGAGCAGTAATGATGAGAGAATGGTGATATGCTCGCCGTTGAGTGTGTGTACGGCCTATCATGTGTGAGCTTTGTACAATTAAAGAAGCAGTCACAGTTGTGATTATGGATGCTTGCAGGGTTGGTAGAGCAGTGTTGACAAAACATGCCACATACCAACCCATCTCCTGAGCAACATCTGACAGAGATGTGCCACATAGAGAGAACAAGGGGAGAAAGATGGGGCCGCTGAGCTGGCTGAGCAATGTTGACAAAACATGCCACATACCAACCCACGTCCTGAGCAACACCTGACAAAGGAGTGCCACATGAACTGGAACGGGGGACAAGAATGGGTTGAGAGATGTGTGAAGAATGAGAGGAGAGAGAGAGGGGAACTCACGAGTCACGGGGGTAGTTCCTTCTAGCAGTCCAGATATAGAATTTGAGTGTCCTTCAGAAGTCACGGTATCTATCAGTCAGTCATGGAGGAACATTGATTTCATCTCTCTATCTACTTGGCAAATTTGCCCAAAAAATTGTAAAAGTCGTTCCCCGCACCTTCCAACTTCTTCCTGGCCTCAAGAGCAACCTCAAGAGCAGCATCAAGGGCCTCATAGGCATTGTCATACTGATGCTCAAAGGTTTTGAACTCACCCTTCTCTTCCTCACTTGTGTACTTCTCCTTCTTAGCAAACTCATCCCTCATTTTGGGCAAATCATCCACATGCTCTCCGTAAGCCCTCTTCCTCTTCCTCTCCTCTTTCTCTTTCTCTTTCTCTTTTTTCTTTTCCTCTTCCTGTTCTTTTTCTTCTTCCTCCTGAGCTTCTTCCTCCTGCTCCAAGTTCAGGCTTGTTGGCATTGGCGGGACAAAAGAGGGAAGAGGCACAGCTGATTGCTTGTGATAGAGGTATATGAGAGTGTAGGGACGATCAAAGACGCTGAGTGGTTCCCAGGAATCGTCCTCACAAGGGAATCCTGACCAATGGACAAGCCATCTCTTAGTCTTTCTGTTGTAATCATGGATGAAATCCACATCATATCTCACTGAAGCTGAACATCAGCATGATTCAAGTATGACGTAAGAAGAAGTTATACAGCATGAGTTCAGGGTGGTAAAGGTTGTGAAGGCAATCCTGTAGGATGAGGGAGTAAGGGGGTGGGTTGGCTTAGTGGAGCGGAGGGAGGCGCAACTCACAATCTTCGGTGGCCTTTAAGAATTCTGTCTCGCTGACACTGTCCTCACTCTCCATCTCCTTTATATCTGTGCCCTCTGTCTCTGTTCCAGAACTAATGGTGATAGTCTCCACTTCAGTTTCCGCTTGGGATTCCGCTTCAGTCTCAGTTCCATACTCAATAACAGGCTCCGGTGTTGGTAGGCCAGCTGAGGATAATGGTGAAGATTCAACAGAGCTCATTTCCGCAGTGTATGTTTGAAGAATATATCACGGCACGTTTACGATTGTGTGCGGCTCACGGTCGGTGATGTACGATTGTGTGCGGCTCACAGTCGGCGATGTACGACTGACGATGTATGACTGACGATGTACGACTGACGGTGTACGGTATAATACGATGTACCACTTTGATAACAGATAATGTATGGTTGACAATGTGCAAGTTTGATGATAGATGGTGTACGGTTGATGAAGTACGGTTGAGAATGTGCGGTATACGATGTACGGTATACAATGTACGATTTTGAGATTAGACGATGTACCCTTGACAATATACAGGTTTGATAATGGACCGTGTACGGTTGACAATGTACGGTATACGATGTACGGTATACGATGTACGATTTTGAGATTAGACGATGTACCCTTGACAATATACAAGTTTGATAATGGACCGTGTACGGTTGACAATGTACTGTATACGACGTACGACTTTGATATCAGACGATGTACGGTTGACAACGTACGGAATATGATTTACAATTTTGATAATAGACAATGGACGGTATACGATGTGCGATTTGGATGATAGACAATGTATGACTTTCACAAGGGAGAGGATGGACAAGCTATTGTTGACGGTGTGCGATTTTGTTGACGCAATCAATATATGATTTTGATGATACGATGTACGATTTTGTCGATACGATGTGCGGTAAGATGTACGGTACGATGTACGACTTTGATGATAGGTACTTGGAGATGTACACGACGTACGACTTGCCAATAGGTAGGTACTCGCCAATGTACACGATGTACGACTTGACAATAGGTCGCAAAGGTTTGACAATAGGTACCTAACGATTTTCACAATATACGACTTCGATGATGTACGACCTCGATGATGTACGACTTCGATGATAGACACTCAACAACACTTCAACGATGTACGACTTTGACAATAGACACTTGACAATGTACGACTCTGATAATTAGACTTGGACAATATATAGTGCACAACTTACAACTTGCCAATGCACGATGCACGACTTCGATGATGTGCGACTTTGACAATAGATACTTGACGACACTTCGATGATGTACGATTTTGACAATAGATACTCGATGTCACTTCGATTTTGACCTTGATGATAGATAGTTGACAATGTACGACTCTGATAATTAGACTTGGACAATATACAGTGCATAACTTACAACTTGCCAATGCACAATGCACGACTTCGATGATGTACGACTTTGACAATGGATACTTGACGACACTTTGATGATGTACGATTTTTGACGATATGTGGAGTACGGCCTTGATCATGTAATTTGCCCACAATTGACGAGTTTCAGACTGTAAGTAATGCGGTGAGCACAGTCAGAAGAACCAATGTGGTGAGAAAGAGTTGGGTTACAATATCCCCATGAAAAGTGAGAAAACATCGGGATTGGATTCCGAGATAAGAGATAAGTGGCGCTTCGCCCGGCCACATCGACTCGCTCGCGCACGTGTCGATCTACCTAGTGACAACACAATGACAACTCTTACACCCCAAGAGGGTGGTATCTCACAGATCAAAAAGCACAAGGATGACGACCAAGTCACCATTGTACCCCTTCCTCCGAGCCAGACGCTATCGACCTCCAGTACCACAACCTCCGTCTCTGCCGCTCTCGCTCGGTCCTTGTTCCTCTTCATGGGTCAGCTCATATGTTCACTAGATTGTGGCAATCAGCTGACAGTAAAAGGGTTCATGTTCAGACGTCCTTCCAAACTTTTCCGTCCAAACAGAGGTAAGCTCATTTCTCCGCATCATTCATATCACCCTCTGCTGTCTTGCTGATGACCCAGTGGACACCTGGGGTGCTTTACGTCAATTAGCAATTTCCTCCGACCAGCATCTCTCTCCTGGTTTTATTCGTGATCTCTTAAGACGTAAACAAGGGGTTTTAGCTCTGACTGTCACTCTGCTACCACCGTTGATGGTCAATACCATTCTTGGATTTCTGTTGTTCACATCGCATTCGTTCTTCTCCTTATCTCTTGCACGACTACCCGTATTTCAGCGTGAACGACATTTCAATGACCTAAAACAGTCGCATTCTGTCTCTAAAGATACTTCACCTAAGGGCTCACCAATGGAAGGAGATGATGCAGAAGAAGAGGAGAAATTTGATCTTGAAACACTTTTGAGAGGTCCTACTGTGGTCCCTAGACATCCGACCCTTTTGTCGGGGATAGCAGGAGCTGGAGCTGGTATAGCTCAAGGTATAGCGTTTACGCCTGTGGAGAATATTGTTCGGTAAGCTGCTCGCTCCCTTCAAATCGCCTTCTCTTAGAAAAAAAAAAGTCTATCGTTGATTACTTAGTCTCCTGAAAGATTCCGCTCAATCTATCACTTCTCCTCTTATCCGTCTACTTCATCTATCCGGCAAGCCTGCTCCCGGAGACGAGGTTTCTTCTCCTTTACAAGCCATCAGGAACTTTCTTTCTACTCAGACTTGGCAGAGGAGTCATTCCTGGTGGTCTGGCTGGCGTTGGGTTGTAGCCAGAGATGCGTGAGTCCTCTGTCACTTCTCCTTCCTACGTCTTATGATCCACTCCCACATACAGAGACGGCTTCGCAGTGGTCCTATCGTAGTCTCTCTGTGATAACGCTGTGGAACTCGTGCGTGTCTGATCTGTCAGATTGAGCTACGGAACATTCTTCGCTGCCTTCGACATGACACGCCGTGTAGGATTACGAGTCAAAGCTTTCTTCGGAGGTGGTATACAACCAGATTGGGAAAACTTTATAATCCTTGATACTCCGACTGCCCCTTCAAACATCGCTTCATCATCTACCACTACTCCTTTCCCTTCCTCAAGATTGCCTGTCAAAGCTGACCCTTCCTCTGCTCCCACTGTGGCTCGAGTGGCTCAAGCAGCGACCATCGTCTCCGGTGGAATAGTCGCTTCTCTTCTTGCTGAAATGATTGGTCGACCCTTTCGTGCTTGTCAGAAGATTATGCATTCCGCCAACTCCGACATCTCATATCCACCTTCATCCTCAAGCATATCTTTCAGAAGACATCCTGTATACTACACATATCGGACGCAAGGTCTGCGTCCGTTTCTTCATCCAGACGATCCGCCCTCTAGTAAGATCAGTGGGAGTCAGATCCACGAGATACGTTTCCGGAGAGCGTTGACCAGAGTAGGATGGAGATTAGCAGCTGTAGGTCCTTGGGGATTTGGGTTCCTTGTCTGGGCGTGGGTGGGAGGGGAAGTTTGATATCTTGTAATCAACCTATCTGCATATGTATTCAAAGGAATCTAGATTGTACACGTACATATATATGTCATGCATGCATGGATTGAATGATTATTGTAAAGTATGCAGATCGCGATGAAGATTTTGAGCTTCAAGAGCCTCTTCTCCCCATTGACGAGGGACACCACAGTTTTGGAGGACAGACATGAGACCACCGGTATGTTCGACAGAAGAAAGAAGCGTACGTTCTTCATCTTCGGACCGAGTAAGCATCATTCCTGCGTATCCGAGGGAATTCAGTTCGAGAGCTTCGTGTCCTGTCGGCAGAGGGAAACTGGGGGCGGAACGGGGTATGAGATGCAAATGGTCCCTGAACATGAGCCAACTCGACCACACAGTTCACTTTTCATCCACAGACAACTTCTGAGTGATCTTCATAATATTATCAACTGGTCGCATGTCACACTGGGACATATGAAGAAGTAAAGTTGCAGAATGATGGGCGAGCACTCACAAAGTCATGAGAAGATTCCATCCTCCATCTTTATTTCCTTGACCACGTCGGATAGAGTCAAACATGAGATCAAAACATTTCATCAAAGGAGGAGCTAGTTCATCCACCAGATAACCTGCTTGTTCTTCTGACAGAGGATATGGGATTTGTTGATGGTCCGGAAGAGGATGGATGATGTGGAGGTAAGGTAAAGAGGGGTGGATGATGGGTTGGTCTAGTCATTAGCCCTGTCGCACATGACCGTATCATTGATACTATCTGTAAGTCACGAACCGCCTCCAGGAGGAAGAACCGAGAAAGAGGTAGCAGAGAATTCAAGGTGGGAAATGATCAGAGTAGGACTTGGACTTGTGGGAGATGAGGTTGTAAGTTACCCACCCTTTCTCTCGAATTTGACCCCAGCAAACCAATCTTCCACAGGCGGACGGACAACGTCCACCAACTGTATATGTCGCCAACTCTGACTAGCCCCTGCCCCAACCCCACCATTATAGAACGCTAACATTCTTCTGGGTTTCGCAGGATGTCGAGAAGCAGCGAGAAGGATGGTATAGGCGAGTGCAATTTGATGAGGTGTAGGTGGGAGGGATTGTGGTTCATGTGTTTGTGGACAGAGTAGGATGTGTTCAGGTAAGACGGAGTACTTTCTTCTCAGCTTTTGACTCTTATGAGTGGGAAATGATGTAGAGCTGTACTGACTTTGTTCAACTGTACATCAGCTGTAATTCGCTCATAGTATATGATCCGGCAAAATATCATGAATTGGGAAGATATTCAGCACGATTGTGGAATTCGAAAGTGTGAATCATGCGGATGTAAAGTAGGTGCAGGAGTTAGGTGAAGAATCAAAAGAGGGAGACTTACCAATACAGACATTCCTGATTCCCCTTCTAATCCTTCCAAACAACCTACATATAGTTCTGGTACATAAGGAGGTTTGAAAGGTTCCGAAGGGTTCTGTTTCGTTTCATCCACACGTTGTCGTTTGTTGGGTTGATCATCGGACCTTTCTACACCGACGGCTTGTAAGGCTTGTATTTTAGCTCGTTGTTTGTCCAAAAGAGAAGGACAACAGCGTATGTTGAACTGAAATTAGTCGTGTCCGTCAACACTGTCGTTGAACCTTGTAATACAATATGATCCATCTTGCTTAGTTGTACTGATCGAGGCAGTTGTCTGAAGTAGGGAAAGACGAGTGTTACTTCCCTAATCCTTCTGATCTTGAAAGGCCAGAGACAACAAGCGAAGGGCATATATATGGATCATCATATCTCGGAAAAACCCACTCTTTTCCCATCAGAAACGACATCTTTAGCTCCACTAGGAAAATAAAACAATTCTCCACTCTTCCTCGCTTTCTCAAATTTCCCCGGTAACGAATCCAATATCTCGGTAGCTGAGCATGTCGTAGTGGGGTATACCAACCCGCTCATCCTTCTTATCAGGGGGTTAAGTTGACGACGAACAAGATTTATCGAAACGAGGTTCATAAGTTGAAAGGGTTGACAGGTTGACAAGGTGCACTCTTGTTCCCTGTGTTCAAAGGGACAAAGTGGCAGTTTGCTCAAAGTGGCACTTGGACACACGGATCATGATCGTCGCTAAGAAACTAACTGTCGTCTGAGGGACTTGAGAACGGGGTATCTTGGTTGACGACGAATCATACTGAGATCCTCAGAGTGTTCATAAGTATTGAAAAGTATCTGGTCGTATCTATCTCTTCTTTTTGATAAAGGAACAGGAGGAAAACTCGTTCTGGCTGGTCCAACGATAAACGAAGGTTTGATTAACACGATGACTTCTCCATTACGTCGTCCTATACTACATAAATCCAACTCGTCAATTTCTTACCTACCTGAAGTACCTGAAACAGCCTTAACATCCACTGGATGGAGAATTGGTGAAAGGGGATTGAAGAAATGGTTTGTGATTGTTGATTATGGGGTGGAATTGGATGTGGGTCATAGTGAAGCCGGAGGGAGTGTTTTGTCATTACTTCAACCCACTGTGAGTTGTTTCTCCCACTCTTCCCTTCCCTTCGATTACCTTCTCTTGCTTACTGGTTCGTCGGAAGTTTTAGCTCGCCTCTAGTATCTAATAGCCTGTGAAATAGAACATCGAGAGGTAGGGTGTAAGGGTTTGGAGAGGGGAATGGAGGATTGGCTAAGGGAAAGGGGCAAGAAAAAGAAAGAACCGTCTGACTATAGGCACATCAACAACTTATTCATATTCTTCCAACTCTTGGTCTTCCTTCACCTACCGGTCTTTCCCTTCATCTTTCTTTCCCTTCTCCTACAGGTTCTTTACCTAAGATTCTAGACTCTCACTGGCTTCCTCTCTTCTCCCCTTATCTCTCCCCACAAACGGAAGATCATCTTTCTACATCATCAACCTCTTTCGGTGGTTTACCCATAGTCGCTAGATTAACTTTGATTGTAGATAAACGTCAAGCTAGGTGGTGGGAAGCATGGAGAAAAGATCCTACAGAAGGTACGGTAGCAAGATATGTAGCAGTGAAAGATTTAAGTCGACTTCGAGAAACCGACTTGACAGAAGATATCACTCGACATACAGAAAAACATAACGAATTCACAACATCTGCACTTCGTCCTCCTCCGAGACCTTCACTTCATACTTCACCTCTTGAACAACCTACTCCATCTGTACAAGATACACTCTTGAGCCGGAATAGGGAGCCGAAAGAAACTACTACTGTAACAAATGATTCAAAGGAACCTTTGGAACCTCGTCGACAACTGACACTTCCCAACAGTCCATCTGGGTCAACGACAGAAACTATCAAAAAGAAACGTTCTCCTAAACCCGCTCCATTGGATCTTGTCCCTCTCACTAAAACTTTCTCATCTTCTGAAAACCCACCTTCCCCACCGGAATCAGGAGCGACATTCGGTACTACTCCCCTCACTCATTCACATTCCATTCCATTAGTTTTACCTTCTCCTCATATTCTCACAACTTCGCCTCATTCTTCCATCCATGTGTATTATCCATATGACGGTCCACATACTTCACCTGATCCACGTTTACCACCGAGATATCCTTTGTTACTTGATTCTCCACTAAGTTCTCCACCATACTCCATCGTCTCCTCGAGGGGTCCGGGAACTCCACATCGGGTACCTCATGATCCTCAAGGACCGTCAGATTGGGTTCATACACCTGGTGTTGGGGAGGGATTTTCGAGGGAAGTAAATGGTCTATTTCCTACTTCGTGGTTGCTCCTGCAGAGGTCGGATGAAGAAGATGATGGAGATGAAGAGGGCCGACATTGGCCCTATGGTCTGGAGACTCCGATCCAAGACTATTGGGAGGGACACGAAGTCATAACACCTCTTGAAAAGGATGGGAACACTAGCGAGAGGGAGTTTGGCAAGGAGCTTGAGGTATCTTCGTCGGGACATGGACATCACCCATCGACACATATAAAACCGTACATGGGGTTGGACCCATGGAAAGACGTTTGGCCGATGTTTGACGTGGGAGTTGACCAAGCTTCCGAAAGACCTCTCGAGCTGGTAACGGGTCATCATCCTGTTGTGACCGAAGAACCACCTCACGCAACCATTTCCAATTCAACCAACTCGGGGAGGATGCTCGCGGAAGAAGTTAATGCCAAGAGAATAGATGTTCGAGAGGGAAAAGAAGCTCCACCCAAATCGGATGTCGACAGAGAACCGGTGGGTCATAGTGTCGATACTTATATCTCGATGAGCCCTCGGATTCCTTCTCTTAATTTCCCACCTACACTGTTCGTCCTTCCTTCGCAGACTCCTGAGTCACAAGTGTCCCGCCCGATCACCCTTCCCTCTCCCGAGGTGGTTCTCCATGAACGCACCATGGTGGAAACTGTGAGCCTCGAGGACGAGCCTACACTATCCGCGCAACCTCGTCCTATTCGTCAACGACCAATGCCCATACTCCCTCCTGCCAAACCAATGACTTCATTCACTCCTTCTTACTCTCCTTCCTCGTCCTCGTCCTCTCACCCTTCATCTCCTTCTCCCTTTCCCGAAGTCCTTGCAACGACAAAGTCCCCTCTCAGACCTACCCATTCCAAGCTTGACTCCACATCTTCCATCACGACTCCTCTTCCTTCAACGTTAGAACGAAGGAAAACCACCCCTCGTCCAGCTCGCACAGAGTCGATTCCCAAACCACCCACACGAGCTCAAACCATCATTCGTCCATCGGAATCTCTTCCTCCAAGTTCGTTCTACAATCAAAACCAAAATAATCGCCAGTCCACCGTATCAATCAACAGTATCGCTTCGAATACCTCCAAAACCCCTAAAAGACCTTTGAAACGTCTCAGTCAAACTCTGGGGTTTTTCTCGGAGGGCGACGTGGGCTTCGCAATGCCCTTAAACTGCCCACGCGAAGTAGGTAAGTGTTTGATCCGACTTTTCTGATTTTACCATGTCCATTCTATCCCCGCTCAATTTTCCTCTTCATTTGTTGTGTTGGTGAAAGAATGCTGGCTCTCCCCTCTGAATATAGCTCTCCTTTTTCGGTTCATTGCCCGGACTGTTGTTATCTTTGCGATGTTGACGGAACCCGTCAAGACTGGAGAAGTAAAAAGTGTGGGTACAGAGGGAAGCCGAAGTGAGATTAAGCAAACAAAAAAGCTAATGTCAGTAGGAAAAACGAATTGGAACAATTCGAATTTGTCAATGGGACATAGTTTTTATCCTAACTTCGAAATCTGTCAGTCAGCTTCTCTCTCCTCGTTACAAAAACGCTGATATTAGATCCGCCGAGATGGAGGGGTAAAAAAGGTTATCCGAACCTTGTGATATACCCTCCGATTCATACTCAATCTGTCACCCCGAAGAAGATCAAGATACTTCCACATATTCATCTCTACCCTCAACTAGTGATATACCCTTCATCCGGCCAAGGGAGGATAAACAAGAGACGGGAAGAAGTTCAAATCTTACCACAAATCCATCTTTACCCACAACTTGACATCTATCCTTCTTCACGCCATTCGAGGAACGGTAAGAAACCAGAGGACGTTCAAATTTTACCTCATATCCATCTCTATCCCCAGTTAGTGATCTACCCTTCATCTGGCCAGATCGGCAACATCAAGAAACCAGAGGAGATCCAAATCTTACCTGATATCCATCTCTACCCGCAGCTTGTCATTTACCCTTGTCCACCCAATCTGTCTGAAAATGGGGTCATCAAACCTGATGATATTCTCGTCCTCCCTCAACTGCACTTGTATCCCCAGCTCCTGATTTACCCAAAATCGAGCAAAACCACCATAACCGCCTCCATGGAGTATGTGTCGAGATTTGCGGAGGTTGTGATACTGCCACATATCGAAAAGTACCCACAGCTGGTGATATACCCTCCCTTTCGTAGTAGGCCGACAGAGGTGAAGGTGACCTTGATGACGTTTCAATACCCTCATATCGTTTTATATCCGAGCCGTCATATTCCAGAAGAGGTGAAAGTAACATTGGGCCCGATGGTATACCCAAAGCTGGTCATCTATCCGGCTGTATGTTGGAGAAGACCTAAATCAGTGAATATCCTGTTACGACCCTTCAAGTATCCGCAAATTGTGATTTACCCGTCGTCGATGTCATCTATAAATGGCAAGCCAGGGAGCGCACAGTCAACGTCATTGTACAGTACTTCGGTGTTCAGTGGAGTTGTGTCGCCGATTTCAAACCCTGTGGATGAGAAGCTACGCATAGGAGAAAGAGATACGTTACCGGTTCGTGCTGGCCGTAAGACTCATGAGCAGCTGGGTGAGCTGGATATCCTCCATGAAGAATGATCCGAGCTAACACTCACAGTGCAAGAAGTGATGCGTGCTCGCGAAATCGCAAAGCTTACAATATTCCCTCAGCCGCACGCTGCGACTAACATCGTTCAATCTCCCTCATCCACTCTACCCTCAGGGAGTCAGAAGAAAGCGGATGTCTTAGGAAGCGAGACGATCTTGAACCTTTCTCGTTCAACCATCAACAAGCCGAAGAGGCTTTCAGGTTTACCAGCAAGTCCAGCGGAGAGTTATCTAGCTTTGAAAGCTTCATTAGGTCAGCTCCTTGGGAAAAAAAAAGGGAAGGAATGAGCTGACGTACCTAGCTCGTATCCAGACTACGACCACTGCTCCACCTCGTCCACCTCGACATACTCGTGATGTGTCCAACACTACCTCCGGGTCCCGTACTCCAGCTAGCAATCTCCAAACTCGACTTCACCTTTATCGACCCCTCACACAGCAATTCCACATGGGAAGGTCTTACCTGTGGCTCCATCGCCTACGCCCGTCACTGGAGGGATCAAAGGATTGCCTCTCCCCGAACTACCAGTACCTTCAAACCACCCTACACAGCGCGTTCGTATGTCCCCCGGTCACCTCTCACATACCAGGAATGATTCCATGAATGCCGGTGTTCATAGTCGTACCTCGTCACAGAGTTCACTCGCGTCACCCGAAACGACACCCCGACCCTGGACTCCGGCTAGAACGAGGAGTAGCACTCTTGTCGCTGATCGAATGAAGTCTCTTCTTGACCATCAACGTCAGTACTTCACATCTTGATCAAGTAACTGAGCTGATATCTAACAGAGAGTCCCCCACCCGCTCCGCCAGCTGTGAGATATACGAGGAGTGGGACAGTAAGTGGAGGGATATCACCTATGTCATCACGTCCTCCTACCGCTCCGTTACCACCCTTGCCACCCATGCCACCGGGAGCGAATGAGAGAAGTAAGACGGTGGGAAAGTTACCAAACTCGATGTTCAAGAATTGGGTATGATGAGGTGTAGTGGAAGAGATGATACAAAAATGCATGGTTCAATCTGATGATGAACATCCTCTACAGCCTATTCTGTCAGCATATTCACTCAATGTTTTGCCATTGACTAAAATGATAGAAGTTGTCATAAACAACAAGTGGTGGAAGGGGATGACTCACCACAATGAGGACATTCAACCACAACGCCTTTCTTCACTTGCGTCTTTGGGACTCTACAAATACAAGTAGAACCTTTAAAGTTCATATCCTGAGTTGCGACGCATCGTACACAACAAAGTTTCTCATATCCGTTCTTTTTCCATTTGGCAATAAGACTGAATGTCAGTGTCTGATTTGTCAAACGCACTTTGCCCTCCCACCGAAAGACATCTTCCCTTTCCAGTCATCTGAATCACGAGACTGTACGTCGTATGAATGAGTACAAACCAGCATCATGGTGATTGTGGAAGAATGAATCCATAGAGTATGGAAGGGTGAATGAGATGAAAGAGCCGAATTGATTTGGAGAGGTGTGCGACCCACTTGGCATCGGCATATCCATTCTTCAACAACCAATCGTACAGTTCTTTTGATATTAGTTCTCGTTTATAATACAGATCGTATATATATCTCGATCTAGCATGGTTGATCCTCATTATCGGCCAGTTGATCAGCATCATTCATCTTGACATTTCTCAATGGCTCATTCTTCCCCATCTTGCTCTTTCGCCGTCCAGCTCTTCCACACATTCCCCGACGACCCAATCGCTTCTTCAAGGAGACCCTCGGGACTTTCGATATGTAAGTATGTTGACCAGAAGGGGTTGTAGGGATATGATTTCAATCAACTCACCATACACTCTCAACCTTTCTCTTACCTTCGTGACTATCGCTCTCTGCGTCTCTCATCTTTTTGTCATAATCCTCCAAAACCTCCCTACTTGTCAGCTTGGCAACGCTTTGACAGAAGAGAAACACATACTGTATATCTTCAAACCCCTCTGGAGGTGGTTTAGAGCGTGATGTTCTTATCTTTGGCATGGCGGTTGTGTAACTTTACTTGATGAGATGGAGAGAAAGAGAGCCGGCACTGCCAATGGTCGTAACCCAACTTTTGTGTCGTTATCTGTGCTCCCCACTTACGCACCCGGCGGGACAGAGAATAGCACGAGTACGACTGAAGAGACAATGAGGACCGAGAGAAATGTGTAAGCAGTACATATCTAAGAGCACGAGTATAAGGCAACATCCAGTCAAAGCATCGGACTGCGGTTACTGCATATCTCCCCCAAGAGCGTACTCATTTACATACAAGATCCCACAATCATTCTACCCTTACTCCTCATAAACCTTCTCATGGTCCACTCCAGCCAAACACAGCGATCCGTCCTCTCCAGCCAGCTGAAGCTATCACGCGTCTTCAAGAAGCGAGCGCTGGGGTCTTTGAGTTACCAGAAATGATGGCACAAGCGGTAAGCCAAGCGTGGGAGCTGCGTGCTGAGATTTATAAGGCTTCCCCCCGGTTGGCACAGGCCCAAACCTGCTTTGTTTGACGTTCAACTGAGAATCGAGATGTCTTATCGGCATCGGTCGATGGGCTCGAAAGAGTACTTGGTCCATCTTGATCGTGATCACATCGCTGTCTTCCTATACATCTTTAAGTAGAGATCTGGCTTGGTCAATCATACACCGCTTTTCAAATTTACCACACAGTCCCGAAATCTTGAGTTTGACAGGTATGATGTACACGACTGGAACAATTTCCTGCCACAGGGTGACAGGGGGTAATTGAAAGACTCGAACATACCTTACTTGACCAATCAAATAATCAAGCAATCCATGTCAAGTAGGACGGTCTTCACCTACGCCGGAGGATAATGTCCTTTCCAAAGAGGGATCGATATCGCGCCCCAAATCAAAACCCACCAAACCCACACTTTTCCCCATCTCGTCATGCCCTTTGGACCGAATGCCATTTGAGCGATGTTCCACCAAACGACCGGATCACCCGATATGACCCTTAAAGATATCTGAGTATGGGAAGAAAATATCAATAGGAAAGTCATGATTAGATGATGTAGATGAAATGGGATTAATCGGGAAGACAAGGTGGAAGGCTGAAAGAGATGTTTGATAGTTGGGTGAAGACTGATGATGATGACAGGAAAGGAGATGAGAAGGTTTGGGAGTTGAGAGATATCCCAGTAATTGAGAAAACCGACATTCCTTAGAATCAGCTTTTGCCTACCAAAGGTGTTGATTCTCACACCGCGTAGAATGATGGATGGGGGGAACTTACCAGTATTCTTTTTGAACGAAAGAATATGCTATGGGAAGATGGGAATGACACCATGGTCGAGATGTACCGTTTTGGCAGAAAGAAAGATATGCGTAGAGTTGGAAGATCAAGAAAGGCGATATGATAATTAAGGAGTAGATTCCCCCTTTGACCAATCGGGTGAAAATGATCTAACATCAATACGAAATCTTCGTCTCCATCGAAGCTTATACTTGTAAGGCTAAAGGCAAGTCACAGTCCTTGAGAACAAGACCGTAAGGCTCCTTGAGTGAAGTGAGGTGGAGGAGGGAAGGTGGTTATAGAGGGGGACGAGGAAGTTGGGAGACTCACAAATGGACCTCTGGAAGAGGTATCAGAACGAAAAACATACAACCAAACTAACACACCGGATGAAAACACCCCAGTAGCTCTGATCATACTACTACCCGCTAACAGTAACGAAGCTATCAACCAGTTCTTTTTCAAGGCGTGATGATACCCGGAGAAAGTGAAGAATGCAAAGATAGGTTCGGTGTAAGCTGATGATAAAACGGCAGGAGTAGGTGGAAGGAGGTAAAGACAGGAAGTGATGAATGCGAATGAGGGTGAGAAGAGGAGAGATGTTAATCTATTGTAGTTAGCTTTACCTTTTTATGTATATCTTCACTTAGCACAGCTTGTGTCGTTCTCCACTACTATGAGTTGGAGAGGTAAAGTTAAGATGACCTTCGTACGAGGAGACAACGGAGAGAGACGGGATTCCACACTGAGGTGGGTAGATCTCGAGAGAGGGGGGTAAGACAGGGCGAAGAGGATACGACAAGGAAGAGAAAGGGAGAAAGATAAAATATAGATAGGGAAGCATAAAAGTAAGATCTCACTCATACAACATCACGACAGCTCCAACAAAAGCCAAATTGGCCAGAACGACCCCTCCAAAAACAACATCCTCAACATCAATCCCTCCTCCTCTCCACCATCTCACCACTTCTCCTGCCAGACGCATCAGAATAGGCCAGCCAGATTGAAAAGCTATCTGTTGTTCGTACGTATATCCATGAAGGGCGATAGAAGAGAAATGTATGGCGTCCCATCGTAATGTTGCACTTGGGGCACGGTCGGTTGAAGAGGTGTTCAGGAGATATGGGGAGGTATCGAATAGAGGTACATTTGACAGGGAGAGTAGAATCGAAGAGAATGATCTGGTGAGGATAGCTAGTACTATGATGCAGCTTACATGTTTGATGTGTATGGCTTTGGTGATCATCTCAAGCTTAGAGTACGTTACTTACTCTTTTTCAGTCTGCGGAGAATGAGTGGTGAAAGTGAGGGGATTGTATAATGTGAGCAATGCCAGCAACAAACCCCCTGGAAGCTGGAAGCAGACGAGCGACTCAGGACATGCAGGATAGAGGATGTTCATGATTTGCAGATCGACCTTGTCTCAAACATGATGAAGATCAATAAGGGATACATTCTTTTCTTTCTTTTAATTTCCCCCTGGGACCCCTTCGATGCCGGATGGAAGATGCCAGGTCTACGACATCTACAAATATCAAGGATGGTGCATCGCTGTATGTCAACGTCGATCCTCAGTGTCATCTCCTCACGAACAAGGCGAAGATCAGGATGAGGGGCATGGGGTAAGGAGTGAAGACCAAGATACCACACTCACATCTCCGCTTGGTCGAATTGTCCGAAGCGCCATTCCCACTCCCATTATCCGACAAGCTCGAAATGCTTGCTCGATGAGTCATGGGCGCTCCGGTCGTCCCTTGACCCTCTCTCCCATGTCCGCCGTGAGATCCTGGAGCATACCCATAGCTCATTGGTGGGAGCTGCGCGTAACCCCCTGGTCCACCATACCCCATCCCAGGCA